CCTCTCCTCTCCTCTCCTCTCCTCTCCTCTCCTTTCCTTTCTTTTTTGTAAAATTCCCACTTTAACTTTCTTGAAAATAATAAAAAAATACTAGGCATATGACTTTGATTGCATGTCCACTGTGGTACACTGTGAAATGCCCAGTGCTTTTGAGCTTATTAATATGTATGTTGCCTGGTATAAGGACTAAATTTATTTCCTTTTAGTTGGATTCTGCCAACCAACTGCATTGGTTTTGATATGTAAGCAATAATTCTCTTGGTGCATTTGTAGTATTAGGGATTGAACTCGGGGCCTTGGGTGTGCTAGGCAGCAAGTATTCTACAATTGCCATACACTACCTACCCTCAATAATGTTTTTATATAAGTATTATTGGTGACTTACACTAACCTTCACCTGAGTGAGTATTATCAGCTAAATTTTATTGTAAGGATAGAAACAGCTTCTTGAACTGAGGTTCTGATGACTCTATTAACCAGGCCTGATTAATTCAATGCTCCTATGTCTGAATACCTGACAAGACAGTTTAAGGGAGAAAAAGTTATTTTGTTTATGGTTTGAGAAGATATAGTCCAATATGACAGGAAGAGCATCGTGGAGGTGGCTCTGTGGCAGCCTTAGTGTCTGACCACTGTTATCTTGCATCTCACTAGGCCAAGAAGCTGAGAGAAATCTTTAGAAAATGGGGCCCAGCCATTACTTCATGCCCTACTATTATTTCTGTTGGTTTGATAAACACTATGACCAAAAACAGCTTGAGTTTATTTCAGGTTACAGATGATAGGCAGTCGTGGAAGGAAACCTAGGCAGAAATGCAAGACAGGTTGAGGCAGAATTCATGAAGAAACATTCCTTACTGGCTCATTCTCACTTTAATGCTTAGCTAGCTTTCTTACATATCTCAGGGCTCACTAAGTAGGAATGGTGATGCCCACGGTGGGCAGAGCCCTCCTACATCAATAAACAATCAAGAAAATGCCCCACAGATATGCCAGAGGCCAATCTGATGTACACAATATCCCAGTTAATATCCTCTCAGATAACTCTAGACTGTGTCAATTTGAAAACTGAAGTTAACTAGGAGAACCCCCAAGGCCTGCCCCATAGTGACCCACTTTCTCTGCTATGCCCCACTTGCCAAAGGTTTCATAACCTTCTAATACAATGCCAGTATCTGGGGACCAAGTATTCAAACACATGAGCCTGTAGGGAACATTTTACATTCAAACCATAACAAATAGCTTGGCACAGCAGCATGCTTTTTCTCCTTCAGTTCTGTGGTACCAATTTCACTATTTTATTCTCACTAGTATTTCTTTTAACATGACCCATACCTTTTCTTCTCTACTTCATGTCCCAGTTGTGTGTGTGTGTGTGTGTTTTTCTGGTGCCACCAGGACTTATTTTTTCTCTTCCA